ATGCAAGGGAGGGATCTCCCCGCCGATTGGGCTGTTCTCAGTGGCTGACAGGGCAAGAGGGATTCCTGTCGTCTGCTGAAGCCCAGAGGGCTTTTGCTGGGTGGGCTCAGGTTGATGTGACAGTTTGGGAAGCTACGGCTTCTGTGAACGTGGTTCTCCCTGTAGGTTATCACCGAGGCAGGTGACAAGGAAAAATTAAGCTGGCTTAAACAGCACCATGAGGAAAAGGCCACGCCTGGTACTTCTCCCAGATCAATTCAGGCATGGCGAAAGTGGAAGCAAAAAAAAGAAAAACTATTCAGTGGAATAATTAATATTTGCAATGTGCTTCACGGTGCAGAGTGCCAGGCCAGTGTAGAAGCCTCTCTATGAGATCCATGTTCAGCCAGCATAGCTTTTTTCCCACAGATCCTAGTGGGCGTGCGTGGCTGGCCGTGTCCCAGGAGAATTTCTGCAGTGAATCGCTGGGTGAATTTCCCCCGGGGAGGGTCTGGGAGCTCAGGCTTCTGCAGGGCAAAGAGCTTTGCATGGCAAACCTTGCCACGGCTGTCACAAACGTGAGGTGTCCCGTCAGTGGCACGGACTGTTCAGGGAGGTGCTGTGGCCCCTGAGCGAGAAGATGCAGGAGGATGTGCCTCTCTGTGCCATGGGGATTCAAGCATGTCTTCTAAGTACTTGTATTCAGTCCCCTAGATAAGTGTTCTTCTGTATCAAAACCTATCATTTAAGTAATGTTGGGGAGGTTAGTCCTTAGTTAACGTAATTGCCATTATGTTCAAACATTTTACAGGTTTGGTTGAGAAAAAAAACCATAAACCTCTCTAGTTTCTGGGGTCAGTTACATATATGAACATGAGACTTTTGAAGCTATGGAGGGCTCTGTCATAATCCAGTAGGAATGTCTGTAGGAAAGTAACTTGCTGTTAAAGTGGGCATCTATTCAGAGAAACGACTGTAGAAATGGCATTGTGGGGTCCATGTTTATGGTTTCTCAGCAACGCTGGTTGACGTCTCCTCGGCTGCGAAATTAAAGGACGCGTTTTTTTAGACTTGCCGGCTCCACAAGCTTAGCTGGGGCTCCCCGCCACACTGGGCTCCATCAGGCTCACGCATCATCAGGACTCAAGATCACGGCATGGAATTTGGTTAATAGCTGATAGTTGATGCATGAGACAGAAATGAGTCCCAAGGCTTGAGCTTTGTTTGCTCTGCAGGGCACTGTAAGGTATTCCAAACTTATTTTAAATGTTGAAGCATGCAGGTCTAGCCCTGCTTGAACCCCGTGGCCAGATATGTTGATTAGGTACCATGTCTACATGTAATCACCTTGCAGGGAATGGCCAGTAGTTGCATACGCACCCAAGCTTTCCTTTGGTTTCACTGGGAGTTTCAAGTGTGCAAAGAATGCAGGAATGGATCCTATGTGATTTATTGGCAGATAATTTACAGAGGCTACTTCTTGGCCATGTTACCTGCATTTCTTTTCTACAGAGCCTGTCTTGGAGAGTTTAAGCACCATCAGATTTATCTGCCAGAGCTTTTGATGCAGTTTTGGGAGAGAATGCCATCAAGCTAACTTCCTCTTTTTTTTTCAAAGAATGTATATCTAGGTTTTTTTTCATGCATGGTTATCCCTAGGGCTTTAAATGGCTATAAAGTAAGGACTATAGCCATTTAAAAGAACTTACTAGGAAAGGACCATGGTGACCTTGGCAATATCTAATTGCAGGCTAAACTTTCTGGGTGGGCATTCAGCACTGGATACAAAAAAAGTAAAATCTTGGCAGGAGCTGCCAGGTCTCATTATTTTCAGTAGAGCTTGACATTTCCAGTGTTTAAAAAAAAAAGAGTAAAAAGAATAAAGTCAACAACTTCAAAGCAATAGGGGCATGCAGAAAAAAATGTTTGAGCAAAACCAATTTAGCAGTGATATAATTACAATCGGAGAAATAAGCGAAGAGGGTTTTTTTGCCAGACTTGCTTATGGCTTTATTTTTTCTCTTCTTTCTTCCCCTTGCCCTTTCCCCCCTGCAGGAATGGGAGCTGGTGGTGCTGGGGAAGTTGAAGTGGAACCTTGCAGCTGTTACCCCACATGATTTCATTGAACACATCCTAAGGAAGCTGCCTCTGCCTAAAGACAAGTTGCTTTTGATCCGGAAGCACGCACAGACATTCATTGCCGTTTGTGCCACAGGTAAGGCCAAGGTGCTCTGGGTGCGCCTGCTGCTTGCCCTGTGGCTGAAAGGGTAGATTGGGCGCTGGTGGTACAAAAGCTTTTCATCCCCTCTGCCTTGATGTGATGCAGAAAGAGCATCTCGAGCCAGTGGGACTGTTTACAAAGGGCATCGTGAATCAGGCCGCCAAACTCCATATAAACAGAATTCCTGCGATCGGGAGCCGCAGTGCAATTGCAGTCCTGCCACTCCTGACACACATGGTGCTTTTGCAGTGAAGTCAGTAAGACTGAGCTAGACCATACGATTCTCTGCTTTGCCTGTTCACTAATTCTTTTTAAGGACCACAGGTCATTTTTAAGGACAGATGCAGGACAACTAAAGTACTAGAAGCTGTTACGGCACACTAGCCCAAAATGCATTGGGTTAATGCATTAAATTAATGTGTTTGGTAATCTTTCATTAACTGGATGCTGTCCAGATAAAAGGTAGAAATTGTACTTTAACGTGTATATGATGCTACCATGTTAGCGATGTGTAGGAAATGACAATTAAAAAAGTAATTACTTTTTTTTAAAGTGTGGATTCTTTCTCTCATATCACTCCAAGAAAGTACTGAAACTAGTCCGAACCATTACACTCCCTTTTTGTTGTATGTCTGGCTGAATACAGTTTCTGAAGATACAGATGAGAATAATCGTTTCTGTGGAAGAGAGGCTTTTAATTGATACCTGTCTGCAAAACACTGTTTTATTGTTTGAATGCTTTTTTCTCGAGTGACTTTTAGAAAATAAGCATACTCTTAATTTTCATCGAAAGGATTAGCGGCTAGAGCATTTCTTAGAAGCTAGACCTGGAACAGAGGAGCAGCATGCAGTGTTTTCCAGGGTTATCAAGTAGTGTATGGCTCGATGTTTGAATTCACTGCAGTTTGACATACCTAGTCCTTTGTGACAGGAGCTATTCTGCCTGTGTGTTTGCAGAGGGCATAGGAATATGAGGGTGCAGCTTTTGGGCATGAATGTCTACTGCTATACCTGCTTCTTGATGTTTGAGATGTAGTGACTCCTTTTACTAGGTAGGCTAGTTTTTGCTAGCTCAGTTGATCTGTTTTAGAGAATCTTGTATAGGCAGTGTTAGGATAATTGACTTTTTGGTTACCAAGATGCTCAAGTTTACCCTTCTTTTCCCACTGCTGCATGATCCTTTTCAGGCAAAAGACCACAGGACTCAATAGAAATACTGTTCTAAGTCTGCAGAATCACTCTTGGTAATTCATCTGACATTTCTGGACCAGTTAGCTTTTTACTTTAGGATTCATCTGTTACATCAGTTTTGCCTTCTTTCTTTGCCTTCTCCCCTTGCCCAGGATTCATTCGTGCTACCTTTTTCTTTGGAGAAAATGTCTTTCTCATAGACATTTCTGTGGATCCTCATAACACCATTAGCTGTCAGCCTCTGACATACCTGGATGTTGTCTTTCAAACCAGACTGATCTTCCCTCCCTTTTGTTGATTTCAACTCCTACAATAGTGTTTGGTTTGGTTTGGTTTGGTTTGGTTTGGTTTGTCCCAGAGGACATTTTCTGGAGTGACATAGATTTAATTATGATTTGACTTTTCAAATTCTGGCCTCTAATCCTATGCCCTTGTAGTTTCCTGTATAACCAAATCATCGCAGGACCGTGGGCCATGAAAGCTTCCAGAGTCCATGGCTTCTTTCCACCTTTTCTCCATGACTTTTTTTCATGGTTAGTTCTATCTTACTAATCCATTTACTGAGCCCCAAAACAGCATCCCCTTTCCAACTCAGCCCAGCCATGCACTTCTCTCACGTGTTTCCCACCGTGTGATCCGTTTCTCATGCTATATGTCTCCAGTGCGTGAAATGAAGTCCTTTACATAGAGTTTAAAGAGGAAACAAGTCGGAGATTCTTTTCTTGCAAGTGAAAGACAAAATTGACTGTGTACAGAGCTTCCCGAAAGGCAGGGGACTGTGATGCTGGCTGTGGATTTTCTTTTCGTCTCATCCTGTTTTCAACAAACCACTGCACTGGCGTTTAGTTTTGAGAAGGACCCACAACCCCTTGCAGTTTTGAAAGCAGAGATCTTACCCAAGCCCTCATTCCCAGTTTTCTGCCTCATTCCCAGTTTACCAGCAGGCTGCTACCCCCATCTGCATTATAGAGATGTCATGTCACTACTGTATTTCCCTTTCAGTGCCACTCTTATAGAAATCATTCTTGCCCTTCTCGGTGGAGAAAAGCCCCTTCTTCTCAGACTTCCTTCCAGATCCAGTTATCATTTCCTTTTCTTGTCCTGTTTGTTGCAGGGCTCCCATCAGCCGCTGTGTTTCTTCTTTCCCTTTCTCCCTCAAAGCTTCTGCTCTCCGGCAGCTCGGGTTAAGCCTGGTGTTTCATTTCCCCATTTGCCTTCTTTTAGTGAGATGACCTTCTTTGACACGTGGCTGCCGATTCCCTTGCTCCTTCCATGTGTGTTTTTAGCCCATTTTTGACTCTTTACTGTTACCAGACCTGACCTTGCTGGCTAGCTAACAGCTCTGGTCTGGAGCACAGCAATGAGTCTCTTTTTATTTCCACCTCAGTGCAGCTTTCTCTGCTCTCAAATGCTTTTTCTTCTTTAGTGTATCATTCAATATCTTGTGTATCTTGAACTTTTTTCCTGTAGTCTGAGTTCTTCACCAACTGCTCCATTTCAATTTCCCAGCAAAAATGTTATAGCAGAAGTTCCTGAGTGTTCTCTACATTTACAGAGCTGGCTGGGATCTCAGTCCTGCAATACTTTGTGTCAGCAAACAGAAACAGAAGCAACCATTAACATTTTTGGATGTTGTGCGGATGTATAGGATCATTTTGATATTCATCTCTATTCTCCATTCCATTTGAATGTTTCGCAAAAGGAAATGATAGGCGGTTCTTTTGTATAATCCTCTCAGTCATATTTTATCATTTTGGCATTTTCTCTGTTACTCTCTTTAATTTGAGCCCAGTTTCTGAAATGGGCTGCGTGGATATAAATCCACAGCCTCTCCCCAGTCCTTGTGGTGATTAATGGTTCACATGAGGATGACTGAAACTGGAACGTATCCCTCTTTGCCCTTGGTCCCATCTGAACATGTGGCTGCTGAGCAAGACAGAAGCTTATTCTTTCCCTTGCTCTGCACTCACAATGCTTTCAGATGCCTCCTTCTCCACTGGAAGGGGCTGCAAGTGGTTTCTGCCTGCAGCCAGTCCCTGGCTGTGCTGCTAGCACTGTGGCTGTGCGAACAGGGCACTGTAATTAAGCAAGAGCTCTTATGTTGGCTGGGAATTGCCCGTGCATAGGCCAGCTTTCTTCAAGCTGCCTTGCTCACTCATAAGAGCGTATAGATTGGCATGCACTGGAATAGCCTGGTTTGTCTTGGTGTCATTTGTCATTTGCATGCTCCCCATGCAAGCTAAAATCTCCTTCAGGAGCCTTCTGAATTTTAAAGTAACTAACAGGCTGCATCTGGAACCCTTGTTCTTACCATATAGCTTGGCAAAATTGATGCTTACTGCTTTTTCAGCATGGCAGGATCCTGTTTAAGCCCAATGGCGATTGTCCCTTTGCTCTCTGGGATCACCTCTCTGACTCCACCTCTGTTCATTGCTTTGCACGCTTCATTCCTCCTCTGTCTCTTCTCCTCAGTTTGGAAATGTTTTCTCTGGGGTTGTCTGTCTGCTTGTATGGGTCATACCCCAAGCTAGGGAATTGCTCATGGAGGAGTGGGAAAGGGCACCAGTTACAGAGCTGTGTGCAGAGCAGAAGAGGACTCTTCTTTATTTCCTAGACCTCAGCATGTCCTTCATTTCTTCTTCTTGCAGGCTGTTCAGAGGGACAGATGCCCAGCTGCTTCCTAGCGTTACACTCTCATGCTGGAGGCTGTATGTGCCACTGTTTTGGCGTAGGATACCTCTTTTTATCTGAGTGCCTATAACGGAGTGGGTTTTGGGGGAGGACAGGCTGTGCAAGTCAGGCTTGCAGAAGAAGCTGAACACAAGCTATAATGGAGAGGCTGATCTCAATGAGGAGGTTTTCAGTGTTTTATTTTAAGTGACATGCAAAACTTGGAAGGAAAAAGCCTTGCAGACTTGCAGAGACAGAAGACAACTTGTGTAGATTTCTAGACTAAGCCGTTTGCATGGTCTCTTCTGTGCTTCAGCCCAGTCCTAAGGCAGGTGAAATGCTCCTATGATAGATACAATGCAGCATCTCATAGACGGGTGGCTTTCAAAGCCTGTGTCTGCAAAGAGGCTAAGAAAGGGGAGGAAAATTTCAGCTTTAAGTCAGTTTTGTACTGCATGCCAAACCTCTGCCCACTGTCTCTGAGACATTAATCATCTGCATTTGAAAGCTGAGAAGGCTTTTTTTTAACTTCTGGGCCAAATCCTGGGTCCTTACTCAGACAGAAGTTCTGTGAAGTCAATGGGAGTGTTGTCTGAGCAAAAACTGCAAGATGAGGCCCACAACCCCACTAGCGATCTGGAGGGTAACCACACAGAATGCTTTGTAACACCAAGAGGCATGTTTGGTCCTCAGGACTCCTGCTGGGCAAGTCTACTATGCATCCTTCCCTTCCTAGCCAATATCAGAGTTACTGGGCTCTGTCCTTGCAGAGGATTAAAGTGTGATATGAGTTTTATTCGGTACCTGATCTTTGGAGAAGGAAAGAAAGAAGTCCAGAGAGGCTTCGTTATGTAGATTAATCTCTTAGAAATAAAATACACGTTGCAAAGTGGCAGTGGTTGCACAAATACTTCTTGCATGACAGAAGAAGGAATAATCCACATGAATTTATTGCCCTCTACAAAAGAAGCCTCTTGCTTGTTCCTAGGATAGGCAGCTCATATCAGTATATTGAGCTTTCCTGCAAAACAAAGCCACAAGAACCGTGGAAGCTCCATCAACAAGTAAGCAGGGCCTGGGGAGTGTTTCGTATGAGCAGACTCACTCCTTAAGTTGTAGGACCAGTGAAATAT